AGAGAGAAATTTATGTGCTGGTTAAGTAAAGATGCCCATTTTAGAATGTATTTTACTGCCCTTCACTATCTGATAAATAGTAAAATCTTCATTAACCCCTGAAGGGTGCAGGATAACCAAAGGATAGTATGGTCATCTCTATGACCTCATGCAAATTGTAAGCCATTGGAAGTTATCACTCAATACACAGTAATGTTGGTATGAATAGTACGAATCCTTGGTATTTTACCATATACCATTTACCATACCATACCATACCATCTGTAGTCCCCACCTGGAATAGATCATTGGTACAAGTGAAAACAGTCTGGCTGGGACTATGCAAGTGTCAAAACTAGTTCCTGGAACAGATTTTATACCTGGAAATGCATATGCAGCACCCATTTTGTATGACTGCTGCTTACCTGTTGAATTGTGGTGATGATTTTTTTGGTCTCAATTAAAGTACATCTCTGCTGTAGGTATATTCATCTGAATTATAACAGCAACCATGCACCCTTAAAACCTTTCTACGGCCCCTGGCACACGGCAGGGGAAAAAGCGGCAAAAAGCGTGGCTTTTAAAAGCCGCGCCAAAGTTGAAACGGCGCGGCGGGATACCACGGATCCCCTGGCCGCGCCGCCTTTTCTCCCTGGCACGATCAGACGCCGGGGAGAAAACACAGATCAGACGCCGAGCCAGCTGAACTGCGTATGTCCGAGCATGCGCAGTTCGGCTCGGAGCCGGGGATGCGCCGGGGCATCCTTGCGCCGGCGATCAGACTCCCGGTTTGCAGCGCAGCAGGGAGATGAACCACCTCGGTAGGTGGTTCCTACTTGCTCCGGATCATCGAGTGGATGGGCCAGTTCGGGGACGGAAGCACCACGCTTCCCAGATGTGGTGTGATCGCGCCGGTTTGATCCGCCCCCGAACTGTCCTGCTACTGGCCCAAATCCCCTCATGTGAACGGGACTTACATTAGTCAGCATTAGCTGTTTCCCATTTATGTCTGCTCCATTTATTATTATGTGCCAAACAGAACACTGTACCCCCCCTTTTTAAAAAGACACAAAAATGGATGGTACAAAGACAGAAAATGCTTTGTTTTATTAGCCAAGTATCTAAACATTTATAAGGAGTTCCTTCATTACTCAAACTGATGGGAAGTCTCTTAAAGGCAAGAACAGTTCAACAAAAATAGAACTTAGAATATTGACTAGCTTTCAAACAGATGCTACAGAATAGTACCCTTGTGAAATAATTCAGAAAAGCAACTAGCTACGGACTTGAGAAACCCAGCAAACTATGAAGTATGATTAGCAATATACAGACAATAATTTCAGTAGAATTATGGAAAGCAACCACCCTCTTATCATTATTGCAGTATTAGTTCTGAGGCAACAAAGGTGATCTATATGCTATTAGCCACCTGTGGTCCCCATCTGCAGATAGCTAAATCCACAGATTGGGGCCACCTGAAGGCTAAACAGATTTTTCAGCAAACTGGGGCACACCCCAGGTTTGCAGAAAAATCTGAAAATAAAAAATAAATACACGGAGGGTTAAACTGGCCCCCAATTTACCAGCTCAGAAGGAGCTTCTCCAGACATAACAAAGAAAACTTTGAGGACACATGGTCAAGATTTTATAAATGGATAGAATAGTACAACGTATAATGTTTCCAGACATATAATCAAAACAAAAGGAAATAAGAACTATATGTTTAATTGTAAGCAAAAGGTATATATGAAAAATATGTGGATAAAAGAAATGAATATTTTGGATATAGTATGAGGTCAATAACTAGGTTAAATAATGATGCAAATGAATTTCCTCTAATTTGTATTTATGTATGTTTGTCTTTGTCTTATATATGAATTAAAAATCCATTGGGGGGGGGGGAAGAAGGAGCCCCTCCAGCCTAGGCCGATGGCAGATGTCAGCAGCCACGCTAGGGTCTAGCCATGGCAGCGGTGGATGCTGGCAGCTGTGCCAGATCTCAGCACAGTGGTGAAGGAGGTTAGCAGCTGCACCAAGCCCAGTTGCGGTGTCAGAGGAGGTTGGAAGCCGCACTGGGTCCAACCACATCAGTGAAGGAGGCCAGCAGCCTCATCAGACCCAGCCACAGCAGCAGAGGAGGCCAGAAGCTGCATCAAGTCCGACCATAGCAGCAAAGGAGGCTAGCAGCCACACCAGGTCCAGCAGCACCGGACCTCACTGCAGTGGAGGAGGAAGCCAGAAGCCATACCACGGCAGTGAAGGCGGCCGGTAGCCATGCGGGACCCAGCCACGGTGGAGAAGGACACTGGGCTTGATAGTTGGTGTGGAGTCTTGGAGCCATGCCAGCTTGGCTGGGGGGGGATTTGGGATTCCCCTCCATGAGTCTCCCTCCTCTCTACTGAGTTGTTAGGATGTAGGGAATCAACCACGATGGGGCAAGAGATTCCCCTCCCATGAGCATTGCGGGTCCCCACTTGTTTGTTATATGTACAAAAGCAACAGAGAGGGGAACATCACTTCTACTTTTACACAGTCAATGGAGTTGTGAAAATATCATACTGGAATGTAATATTTTGTAAATATATCATACCAGAATCAGATCCCACATAATTCAGTGGTTAGAGTGTCGGACTAGTCCTTGGGACAGCTGGTTTCAAATCCCTGCTCTGCCATGGAAGCTCAACAGGTAACCTTGGACCTGTCACAATACAATCTCACAATGTTATTGCAAGGACAGGGTGGAGGAGGGGAGAACACTGTGATAAGTGGCTCTAGATCCTCATTGGGAAGGAAAGCGGGATATAAACTAATTATGCAAATAGGAACAGCTTTTTTCTTTTAAAAAGAAACATGCTCTTCAATATCTTGAAGAGTACATACCCTTCAGAAAACTGGATTTCACACACACAAAAAGCATTATTGAAACTGTTGAACTGATAGCCCTGTACAATTTTAAAGGGATATATGATCACATCAATTTGACTCAAGAAAATTGGCTAACATATAGATGGACATGGGGTGGAAGAATATGTTATTCACAAATATTATAATAACACGTGTCCAGGTGTACACACATCTGTTTTAGCAGGGTCATTGCACTGTCTGTAACTAGTCTGCACTTTTGTGGTATAGCTTAGAAAGCCAGTTGTCACCTCAGACCAGACAGAACACAAGTGTGTATAGCACAACAGTGATGGTTCAACAGTACCTTCCCAATCTAGTTACTGGCTGCATTCAGGCATCACAAACAAGCCTCAGTTTGCTGTGCAAGAATGAGACCAAGTCCCGAGACTCATGTGCCATACCTCCTCCTCTTGAACACAGTATCAAAACTGCAATCCAGGAAATCTTTAATTAATCACAATTTCCTTGTGATGTTCAAGTCAAATTGCTGTTTGTTTCTTGCTTACAAATCAACTATTGCAGGGCCAATGTCAGCATACCCTGAGGAGGGGCAGATGCCAGGGCTTTGGCTGAGGCCCACTGCCACCAGTCCCCCTCCCACTTCCGCCAACCCTGCTTGTAAGGGTTCTCCCTCATGCTCTCCTGGCTGCACATGCTACCC